ACGATAAATATCCGATATGCTTGAGACATTACGTTTGTGAGAAAGGTTCTGTGGCGTGGGAAATAAGTAACCCACAACAAAGCCCCCTAAAGGATTTTGAACTCCGTCAAGGCCGGAAATGAGAGGACTGGTCTAAATATTACAGCAATACGTTTTTCCTGATCTGATCCCCGCAAAGATAAAACATGGCAGATGTTGCTAAGTATTTTCTTGAGTGTTACAAGACACCGACAATTTTTCCAGCGTTTGATCCTATATTCGAGTTCCACGACGTCATTTGCGGTTTTGAGTCTCAATGGCTGTTCAAAGCAGAGAACCCTTCACCATGAGAGGAGTTAATTCAGTGTGTGATCCCTGACGATGAATGGTATTAGTTTGGTTTTGAAGAGATTGAGGGTTACAAGCCACCACCTCATATCACTAAGCTGTTAGAATTAGATAAGATGAGGGATCACATATAAGCCATTGGTCAACTTAACTTTTTGTAGAAGCAAGCAAGTAAACCTTACGAATCATTTATATATTATGGTGAGGGCGGGTGAAAAGAATCGGTGAAAACCGAAGCTGTGGATAAGAATCAGAGAATAAAGACACACGCACGCACGCACGCACGCACACACACACACACACACACACATATATATATATATATATATATATATATATATATATGTATTTAAATAAAAAGAAAGAACAGTAAGATATATAATCCGGTGTTCTTATAGATATTTTTATTTTTACAAAATAGTGCTCAATGTAAATTTACAGAGCATTAATATTATAAATTAATTGATTTAAAATATGTTTTTTTCGCTACACATTTCTAACCATGTTTCAAAATGGAAGCTAAAAGCCCCGAATTTAATTTAGCAATTAATTAAAGACATTAGTTCCATTTCATCCTCAATTCGCTTGAGGATGAAATGGAACTAATGTCTTTAATTTAATTGCAAAATTAAATTGTGGCTTTAGCTTCCATTTTTGAAACATGGTTAGAACTGTGTAGCGGAAAAAAGGCATATTTGAAATCAATTAATTTATAATATATATATATATATATATATATATATATATATATATATATAAAGAGAGAGAGATTTTTAATTTTTTCACTTAACTCATGTTCACTTCAAGTTTCATGGCCATACACTGTTCGAACGAGTGGTCCCGACCTTGGGGCCACGAATCTTCGAAGTAATCATGACATTACTAAAAAAAAGTTTTTTAAAAAAATAATTATTTATCGCTCTAGCTATACTATTTACATTATTCCGACCATTGTCCTCGTCTTTGTTGCCATATTTATTACAACGTTTCGGCCGTTTTTCGCTCCGGCCTTCTTCATGTGGTTCGAATGTCGAACTGAACCCTTTATTTCGCTCACTGGGTTAGACGTGCCATGTTTAATGGATGTCAATTATCAGTTACCTCCTGTTAATTCCCCACTCCAAGTTCTCCACTGCCTTGGCCGGGTATTGAACTCAAGGACACATGGCACAGGGGATAATGGTGTTGTGACAGGACCCAAAGAATGTGAGTTCATGACATCATACAAACTGGCTTATAAATCACGGCTAAATGCAGTTATGAAATCCAAGCTCTCGAACTATACCTGGACGCTTGTAGACCGCAGAAAAGTTATATTTTCTGTAACAGCACGTTATGCTTAAAAGCAAACATTAGGAGGTACCCTAGTAAAATATTTGATGAAAAGTATAAAATTCAGATTAAGAATCATCCAGCAAGCCAGATGATTTATGGTACCATATGCAAATCTGGAAAAGTTGGACAATTATGAATTGTGAACAGTATGTGGATCTACTGCAAGAGAAACTGGAATGGTATATACACATTCATACTTATGCACTTTGGGTCCACATCAGTGGCGACGAAGAATTCGAGAAACGCATTCACGTCGAAAATCTCAATATGGCAGGTTGAGTTTTCACCTCTTTTAGAAAATTAACATTGTACTCGGTGTGAAAGTTGGAGCTTTAAATGCTAAGTACTATCACCAATAATTAGATTCCTAGCTTTTACCAATTCTTGAACAATTAGTTTTAAATATCGTCTGGAAAATGTACAGAAATACTTACTTTCCTCAGGTTTTTGCTTATAAACTGACTTCAAAATGTTACTATTTCAAGAATAAAAGCAAATAAATCTATTCATTTATTTTTGTATTAGCTATATTGAATAGAAAATATATTCGAACCAGTATTTCAAATATGAATCATCAGTTCATCAGTTATCTGTCATGTATGATACACGCCTAGGCGATCATGTATCTTTCGATATATGACTAACGAGGCAGATTTTTTCCCCGCAGTAGGTTGCCATTTCTTTCTGCGGTAGACCGGTTGTCATCCAAGGCTACAGAACCCGGTCTATCCTGTTATTTACCCATACCTTGGGGAGAAGAAGAGGATTGATACCTTTCCCGAGAGTATTAGAACGTAAGTGAATGTAATGGATTTGACTGGAATTCGAACTCGGCTCT